CTGGGTGAGGGGAACCCTTGTTATGCTCCTGAAGGAGGATATAGTAGGACAATTTTTCTAGAGAATATGAATTGTTTGGGCAACTTTTTTATTGAAAAGCTTTAATATATTTTTTATTCATTTAGATCTATGCATTCCACATATAAGAATTAATACTAAGGATTTGCAAATTTTCTGCTACAAGAATGTGAACTATGATATTTAAAACTTGAATAAAATAGGAGACGATTCAGATGTCTAATAAAAGAGGACTGCTTAAATTCTATTATGGAATACTATGCAGCCATATCAACGATTTTGCATAATATTTGGAACAAGGAAATAAATTCATTACATATTTTCAGCAAATTGGCATGTGAAAAGAACCAGTAAACTATCTAAAATGACTGTTCTGGAGCCTGAGGGGCTGTATTAAAATTTTGTATTAAAACTTGTATCTCTGGGGCTGACCCACTGGTGCGGCAGTTAAGTCCACGCACTCTACTTCAGTGGCCCGGGCTTTGCTGGTTCAGATCCCAGGCATGGACCTATGCACTGCTTATCAAGCCATGCTGTGGCAGGCGTCCCACATATAAAGTAGAGGAAGATGGGGACCGATGTTAGCTCAGGGCCAGTCTTCCTCAGCAAAAAGAGGAGGATTGGCGGCAGATGTTAGCTCAGGGCTAATCTTCCTGATAAAACAAAACCAACAGGGGCCAGCCCTGTGGCACAGCAGTTAAGTTTGCATGTTCTGCTTTGGTGGCCCAGGGTACGCCAGTTTGGATCCTGGCTGTTGACCTACACACTGTTTGTCAAGCCATGCTTTGGCAGGTGTCCCACACACAAAGTAGAGGAAGATGGGCACAGATGTTAGCTTAGGGCCAGTCTTCCTCAGCAAAAAGAGGAGGATTGGTGGCAGATGTTAGCTCAGGGCTAATCTTCCTCAAAAAAACAAACAGACAAAAAAAAACTTTCATCTCTATCACTTACTATGTAAGATGGCAAATTGTCCAAATTTCCAATTTCTTTTTTTGTAAAAAGAAGAATAATTATGCTTCTTCCTACCTCGTTGTGTCTGGGGGATATCAAAAAAGATAATGGATTCAATGTTCTTGGCATTTTACCTGTTGAAGTGCACATAAACACGGTCGATAGAATAGCATAAATACATCATTTGTAAAATATATCCTTGTTTATATTTATTTTGATTCAGTTATTGATACTGATAAGATATACATATAGTTATAAACCTCAACTGCTTTTTTTGCTTCTCTCTTTGAGTTTGTGTGATTTTTGTGGTGTGTTCTGGTTTGTTTGTTCTGGTTTGACTGCGTTCCCTAAATTTTGTATGCGGAAGAGAGTATGAGTCAGGAGTCCTATTATCTCAGCTGCTTGAAACAACAAAGGTTTATTTCTCAGTCGTGTTAGAGGTCCTTGGTGGGTCAGCAGAAGTTTCTGCTAACCATCCACATTCAAAAACCCAGGCTAAGGGCTCATCTCCAACACTGCAAATCCCCAGGCCAGGGGAAAGAGATAGCAAGCCTCTGCCTGCCTCTAAAGCTCCTGCTGCAAAGAGAAACTCATCACTTTTGCTTAGTTTTTGGCCAAAGCCAGACACATACTCAGGAGGAGAACCCCAATAATAATAATAATAATGTATTTTTAAGTCAACAAGAGTTTAAAACTAATGTGTAGCCCATTAAAAGCCATTGTAAGCTTTTGAGCAGACCATTGGTATGACAGTAGGAAAAGTTGTCCCCCATCCCCTCGTGGGAGCAGAAATTAGGATGAATAACTGTATACCCATATTGACTATATGAGAGTCATATAATGAAATGAAAATATATTTATAGACAATAAGGAATAGAAATTAAGGAATCACAGGATCAATAGGGAATTTAAGAAATCACCTAAATTATTCCCCTGCTTTCAAGACACAGTGATCACACTCAGTCATCATCAGTGGAAGCAGGTAATTTAGATTTAATTTCCGGTGGAAAAATGCCTTCACCTGGCCTTGAGGTGGACTCTACTGAGGAGCCTCAGTATATTCTACCAGGAGAATCTTTTTTTGGCCCCAGCTGGTGAGCTGATGGGGCTCTGGGCTTGAGAACCAATGGGCCTTATAATTGTTTTCTTCACTCCCGTAACCACAGCTGCTGCTCTCATTCATAAACTGCAAAAATAATCCTTTAAAAGTTTCCTATTGGCCATTTGCTTTAAAACATCCAGTGGCAATGAGTTTGCAGAAGTAGCACTATGAGAAAGGAACGGTCTCTGATCACTGGTTCAAGCGCTGGCCTGGCTCTCACAAATCCTTGGCCTTCATTCTCAAAATCCTTCTATTTGCTATGGTTCCCTGGGAAATCACTTCACTCATCAATACCTCCATTTCCCTGCGAGGAAACTAGAGAAGCTTATTATTTATCTGTAAAGTATTTCAAAGGCTTAAATGAATTATAAAAAATAAAAAAATTATAATTCTATACACATATTCAACAACTCTAATAAAATAAATTTTAAATATACTCTATTGCTTAAAAATGGTAGCTAAACACATTAGTGAATCTCTAGAAAGATGAGACATATGTACTTGGAGTTTATTAAAGATTGATATATAAAGTCTGTAATAATTTTCTTGCACGAACACTATATTAAAAAATTTAGAGACAAATGAATAACCACTGGTAAATATATATACTAAGAGTGATTTTCTATGTTTTGGAGATATTTTCTATGCTTTTTAAATTTCCCATGCTATAATTTGTTATTTTTAACAATAAATGAATGAGTGAATGAATAACAGCAGTCTGAGGGATACTAATTTTTAATCATGTTACTTTAAAAGCACGACAGGCTTACTCAAGCACTATAATGACAATATTTTATTCATGCAGGTAGAACAGTTACTCCTGTCTGGGGTTATTGGTGAAAGATGGAGCAAGTCAGAAATGCTTCTGAGATAAAAAATCCTTCTACCCATATCCTATGTTCCTACTTATAATCATTAGGGATAAACATCAGAGTACGGGAAAAGATCCACGGTACAAATAATCTTGGAGACTTGCGAGTTTTCTACATAAGGAAAATTAGAAGTATTCAAAAAGATAAAAGATAAATAATGGCAAGGATGTGAGAAAACTGGAAGCCTTGTACTCTGCTGGTGGGAATGTAAAATGTAGCCACTTTAAAGACAGTTTTGCAGTACCTCAAAAAGTTAAACATAGAGATACCACATGACCCAGCAATTTCACTTATAGGTATATACCCAAGAGAAATTAAGACACAAATCCACACAAAAACATATACATGAATGTTCATAGGACATTATTCCTGATGGCCAAAAGTACAAACAACCCCAATGTCCATTAACAAATAAGTAAATGTGATATATCCATAGAAATGAACATTATCCAGCCATAAAAAGGAATGAAGTACATGCCGTGACATGGATAACCTTGAAAACATTATGCTAAGTGAAAAAAGCCAGAAACAAAAAGGCCACATATTTTATGATTCCATTTATATGAAATATCCAGATTAGGCAAATTCATAGGGACAGGAAGTAGACTGAGGGTTTTTAGGGGTTGAAGGGGAGAGGACAATAGGGTGTGACTGGTAAGGGTGCAGGGTTTCTTTTTGTGGTGATGAAAATGTTCTGGAATGAGAGTGGTGACGGCTGGGTAATTCTGTGACTATACTAAAAACCACTAAGTTGTACACTTTAAAAGAGTAAATTTTATGGTATTTGAATTATATCTCAAAAATCTGATTTTCAAAAAGAAAACTTCAACATAAAATTAAATTTCTGATCTAACATTCAGGGAAAAGAAGTCTTTCTCCTTTTAATCTTTCATAAACAAAATCTGTAATAACTTTGGGCTGACCCCGTGGCATAGTGGTTAAGTTTGCACGCTCCACTTTGGCAGCCTGGGGTTCACAGGTTTGGATCCTGGGTGCAGACCTATACATACTGCTAATGAAGCCATGCTGTGCTGGTATCCCACATACAAAATAGGGGATGATTGGCACAGATGTTAGCTCAGGGCCAATCTTCCTCACCAAAAAATAAATAGATAAAAATCTATAATAACTTCAATTACCAGTTCCTCCAAAAGCATATTTCATATTAACCTTGCCATTTTCATGTGAGAAGTGAAATTGTATTTCTTATTTTGATAAATCAAAAAGAATGGAACCAGCTTTCCTCGAGATGAATTTTTCCTTCCCCTCCAATTTGTACTGATCTGGTAGCTCAGGCTACATGCCTTCCAAAACAGCAAAAGCTTATTCAGAGCTATCTGTTTACACCCTGCTTTTTCAAAAGCCAACAATCCTCAGTACAATGTTATTGAGTTTCAGAAATGTCAGTGGACAATTAGGTGGTCTCATTCAGAAAGCTTTGAGCAAATATCCCAACTGGTTTTTCTTTCTTTTTTTTTTTTTTCAGATTGGCACCTGAGCTAACATTTGTTGCCAACGTTCTTTTTTTTTTTTTCTCTTCTTTTTCTCCCCACAGACCCAAGTACATAGTTATATATTCTAGTTGTGAGTGCCTCTGGTTGTGCTATGTGGGACGCTGCCTCAGCGTGGCCTGATGAGTGATGCCATGTTCGCGCCCAGGATCCGAACCAGCCAAATCCTGGGCCGCTGAAGCGGAGCATGAGAACTTAACCACTCGGCCACAGGGCCGGCCCCTGGTTTTTCTTTTTGATGTAGCATTGAACTGAATTGAACTGAGCTGAAATTGAACAGACCTCAAAACTAACGTGGGCTGAGAGAGTGAGTGTGAGTATATGAGTGTGTGTGAGTGTGAGTATGTGTGAGACAGAGAGGGAGATGGATATATTATATTTCTCCATATACTTTCACTTATGAAAATTGGATGCATTAGTTCTGAAAGGACTAATCTTGCCTCAGTCAGGGGTCTCAGCCATCTTTTAAACAAGATACATGTGAGTTGAATTCATTCGACTCACAGGATTAGGAGGTGGCGGCACTGCGTGAGAGCCCTCGCTTACCCCTTCCAGAGCAGGGCAGATCGGAACTCCCTTGGCACTTCTTGATGCTCTCCTCAGCTGACAGCGGGCAGGAGTTCGGGTGCTCGCACTTCTTCCCATACCAGCCTACTTTGCAGTCACATCTTCCACAGTTACACTGCCCATGACCTTCACAATGAGAGTCGCAAAAAAATATGAAAAAATATATAAAGAAGTCAGAATTAGTTTTCATTTCAACAGTGAATGTCACAGATGAGTCAGGAGCTTAATTAACACAATATAAAATATTAAGGCAAAGGCATATTTTTCTCAAGTTCTTAAATACCTGATTTACATTAATTAATCATGAGGTGTGAAAAAAACAACCACTCCAGAAAAGATAAACAGGGTCACAGGGCTATGAACTTGAATCTATCAAAATCCAGGTGCTTGTGGTTGTATTGGTCTGCTGGGGCCTAAAAGGAGTATTTGATGGATTTGGCAATTAATTCATGTGGAGGAGAGCCATAGGAAATGGAAAACAATTTGTTGTGGAAACGGGGTCTTATCTTCTGGAGTCCCCAACACTTCATTTTCATTACCTTTAAACTATACACCTCATGCTTAGCCTGGAGACTCTTAGCCTAAAACCAGTAACCTGTGTGGAGTTCCGAAGCCTTGAAGACCAATTTAGTATACACAAAAGAGGTCAGGAAAGATATGAAATTTCTTTACGTGGACACAGAGCCTGTAAAGAACTGTGATGAGTAGTGGTTTGGTATAGCAAAAAGCAGTCGACGCCATCAGTCCAAGAAGTGGGTTCAAATCCTGATCCTGCTACCTATAGAGTATTATCTATCCACATTTATCAGGAAGTACATAACAGATGTTAAAACGCTATACAAAAGTGAGTTATTATTATTTATATTCATTTGAGCTCACACACGTAACCAAGTAGGCATAGAAAGGAAACAAAACTTTGCTGAGCTTTTCCTAATTCCTAATAAACATTCACATACTCCGTTACTACAGATGCAGAATAAAGTGGATTGCTATAATTGCTGCAAAAATGCATGAAGAATTTTAAAGGAAGTGGAATTACACTTTCTTTAACTAAATCAAGTATAATGCTAATCGATGAAAATCCACGCTATTTTGTCTTTGGCATCTGATATTAATATATATCATACAATATAGAAATTGGCCTTCAGTGAAGACTGGCCTGATTCATCAATACTCTGCGAGGTTTGTGGGCAGATGTCTATCTTTTAAGTTTGAAGAACTGGATAATCCACATATCAGGAAGCTTTTCACCCTCTATTAACCTGGTTCTTCATGGAACAAATCATAAAATGATAGGTCAAAGTGGGGTGAGATATTAGGGATCATTGAATCTAAATCTCTCACGTAACACTAAATTCAATTCAACGTACTCTGACTAAGCACCTATTGTAGCAGAGTCTGAACCACAAATTGCTGCCATCATTACTACTCTGACTTAGAGCTCATCATTTTAAAGGAAAACAAAATTGCGACTGCCAATAAATATGTATGACACGTGAATATACCATTTAAATATGAGATTTTTACTATAATAGTTTAACTTATTAGCAATTATATTTCAGAGGTTGTTGGGTTCCATGACTTTTTTGCCATTTATCTCAGCTTAAAAAGTTCCTACCCTTCTTCTCAACCCTCATGTAATTAGAGCAAAATTTGCAAACAGAGCAATATTGCAAATACGTAGATAAATCACAATTTTAAAAGTTTTTAACATTTTAAAGTACAGTCAATTCTGCTGTCTTATAGGCACCAGAGGCTTTGAAATTCTTGAAGACAGAGGTTTAATTTCAAGGACAGTGAGAACTGCCACAAGGAAACTGGACAAAGCACAGAACATACTGCCATTTGTGAAAGGCCAGCTGACACTAACAACAACATTGAAAAAGAGAGGTAGATTGACAGAGGAAAAATGCTTTACTCTTGAAAGTTTAAAATAGTTGTGGGAGAACAAAACATCCAGTAGACAAGGATGCCAGGAGATCCCTAACCACCCAGGAGGATGCCATCTGTTGCTGCAGTGGCCTTGGATTCCTGGGCAGTGACACACCCAGGGTCCCGACCCCTAGGCATAGGGAATGGAGCAGGAGCCAGTGCAGAGGGAGACCCGTCAGTGACTGAGGGGAGAACGTTCTCAAGTTCTAGAGTTGGAATACAGGTGTAAGAGCAGTCATCATTTTCTATCTGAGGTTCGTTCGCATGGTGACATTAAAAAAACTTTGTAGTGGAATAAAACAAATTCATGAGGATGGTCAGATGTTATTAATAAGAGATTTTCAGAGTTAAAATCTGGTCCCATTAATATCAAAAGAAGTCAGATTAATTGTGGATGCATTAACGAAGTTTGAAAAACATTGCCCTGCTCCAGACCAAAGAGAAGAAATCTTTGCAAGTCTTTCCCCTTTATGCCCCCACGTCTACTTTCTGTTTTCTTACCTATTGTCCTCACAGAGATTTTTTAATCTCTATGCTTTTCCCTCCTAATGTTATGCTATTATTGCAGCTTCCTTTTTCTATCCCTTATTTCTTATTTATTATTTCTTATCTATTGTCCTCACAGAGATTTTTTAATCTCTATGCTTTTCCCTCCTAATGTTATGCTATTATTGCAGCTTCCTTTTTCTATCCCTTTGCTATTTCTGTGCTCTTCCACAATCACTAGGGGAAACGTGGCCTATAAGGACCCGCACCTCTACTTCCCGTGCATTCCCGTGCATCTAGTCTAATAGCATGATGAACCTTCCTAAGGATGGCTCCTATAAACATATGCTTCACCTCCAGGCATCGCCAACTCCAAGCAAAGCTGGGAAGAATATATGCAATGTGTCCTCACTTTTGCTGTATGTGTGATGATCCCTAACTCCCTGTGCTTCTGCCTCAGCCTCAGCCTTCACCTAATCAAAGCCCCCTCAATAACCCAGCTGCAGTTGATTGCTTACACATTGGAAGGAATTGATGGGATAGTGTCACTGCTGTGATTGGCTGTGGGATGAAAGGCTTTGCCTCTAAACAGAAAGGTATCAAAGTGGGAGAATATTATCTAGTTGAGGATGGCCACTGCTCTTCCTCAAATGATCCACTTAGAAGTCTTCCACACTCTGCCATCAGAAGTCAACATCAATTGAACAAATTCAAGCTAAGGAAAGAAGGGTTATTAAAATATGAATGAGCTAAGAAAACCATCCACAATGAAGGAAATTCATGAGAGTCAGTGAACAGATGGCAACCAGTTTAAATGACGAAACAGTGGCATGTAGGATGTTTTTAGAAGGTTTCACTGTTTTGGAAAAGTGAGAATACCTAAATCAAATATGCCAATGGAGAGCATAGAAGAAAAAAACGTAAAAGTAAGAGAGAAAAGGTTTAAATAATTCTAGTCTAATATGATGAAAAACAGTATTGGGATTGGTACTGCCTAATCTAATTTGTTTATTTGAGATTAATTGCCAAGTTAAAACATAAACACAACTTTTGCTTGCACAGGAATGAAAAGCTATATCCTACACCTTTCAATAACTCAGTCACATACTGTCAAAATATGTTTCAGAACACTACGCATTCCACTTTAAATGAAACTGTACCTTTTCCATAAAATCCTTTATGATATTTAATCAGTAAAGTTAGGAAATCAGTTAGAAATGCAAGGTATTGATACCAGATTCTGAAGCAGGTATTGAGTCCTTCAGAGAAGAGAGGAAATCATAAAATGAAATTGCAATTTCTCCTCTGGAGTTACTAGTTTCTCAATTCCAGTAAAAAAGTCATGCCAAAGCGAGAGAGAAGCAATCATTTTATAGTGATAAAATGAAGGAGATGAAAATGCTTGGCTTTCATATATAAAGAAGGGTTTAGAAACAACAAGATCTATTTAGTATGAAAATCCTTTGGACTGGCATAACACACTGTATCAGGGTCTTCTATAAACAAACAGCGAAAAGGGCATAAAAGAGGAAATTAGGAGACGTGTGTTCGCCACTTTTATGTGTCACTAGTTCACCTTTCTGGGCCTCATCTCACTTTATCTTTAAAATGAGAGAACTAGAAGTGAATTTTACCACATTGATCTGAAATTTAATGCTTCCATGCTAGTTTGTCAAATCTATACATATATATATTAAGCCTGCAGGAGTTAATTTCATTGCTTCTAACAAGTATTCCCTTAAACTCTGTAGGCAGAGGACCAACAAAAGAGAGATGAAAGATACAGAATGTTGTTGTTTATCCCTGATATCAAATATGCAGAGAATGAACAACAGGGAATTGATTTCAAAAGACCTATGAGCATGCGTTAAACACACACACACCCCCACCCATAACAATGGGAGATCAACATGGTGGTTAGTCTTGATATGTAAATGAAACCACAGCCAGATCTGTACCACATGCGCAGGGAGTTGGCAGCAAGAGCAGACATCAAATGGCATCACAACCATGCTGGGCAGGTAGGAACTAACAAGGCTCTGAGGCCACTGTAGGAGAGGGTGTTGACACCAAAACTAATTCATTCTTTGTACTCATTGTGTTCTTCTGAGTTAAGCTACCTAAACTCAGAAATATCAATCCAGGACAAATGTACTTGTATCCTTTCCAAACACTCTTCTGCTATAGAGCATATTTCTTTCTTTTAAAATGATCAAAAATGCTCAGGAATTGGAACCTAAACGTCAGGTTTAGAAGTAGCGTCTTACGAAGTAGTATGAAGACAATCTAAGTTTTGGGAAATAAATTAGATCTAACTAGTACTTATTAAAAAAAATCGATTCAATATATTGATTTCCCTTTCAAGACAATGAAAACTGAATGTACTTAATCATTTCCTTCAGTTTCTCTCCTTAATGCTTTGGTAATCCACAGTGACAAATTTCCCCACATAACACAGTCTATCAATGATTTCATTTTCCAAACTAATGAATTTTAATCTACTCTAAGCCAGAGGTTCATATTATAGAGTTTAAGGTCACACTGCAGCATATCTATCCAATTATGGGATTTGGGGAAATAGACTAGTGTGGTAAGCAGCCATCAGGAATAAAGGAGTAATTTTAGAATGAAGAAGTAAATTCAGTGGCGCGGCTCACAGAACTGAAGTAAACAGAGCAGTCGGTACATTTCAGCACGGCTCGTCATGCCCCGGTCCGTTTAGTCGCACTCAAATTTTGTCAACTGTATTATCTTTGAAGTGTGTGTGTGTGTGTGTGCATTGTATATGTGTGTGTGTACTAGTCATGTTTGCATATGGATGAATTCACATGCACGCGCACACACACACACACACACACACACCCATGTGGATGATGAACTACAGACGAATGAAAGAAGAAATAAATAAAACAGATTTATTTGCAATCAGGGATCATGTTTTAAAATATCTGTACCCTCTGTACCCACGATGTATTAGGCAGAAAATATTTATATTTAAATGCATTATTGAAAAGATGAATAAAATGAGAATGTCAATTAAAGGAGCCAGCTTAAACTAATCCATTGAGAGATTTTCCTTGGGCTTAAATAAGACCAACACCCTCAGGATGGCTGGAACGGGAGCTAAAAATAAAGCTGCATTGCATCTGAGCCTTATTACACTCCAACCTTGCAAAAATCACTAGAGAATATTGACGTAGTTGGGTTACTTCTGTCTTATTACCCTAAGGTATTAACATACTCAGTAATCAACTGCATGGTACCCTTCCTACAGGGCAACTCAGACTGGCAATTAGGAAAACTGTAAAGACTAAGAATTCACTCAGTATAATATAGAGAATTCTACAGATTTAGTCAGAAGAAAGAAACACTCCAGAGGTTGATGCTGGCCCCAGACCATGATCATGTCCAGAGAAGCTTAGTTTTATATGAATTTTGAGCATCCAGAGGACAGCTCTTCCTTGCCAAAATAAAATGAAGTTGAAGAATTTTATTTGCAACACTTGGAGATTAAATTGCATGAGTACTTAGGCTACATGTGTTTTCAGATGACACTTAACAGCAGTGTGAACTTTGTCAAGTTACTCAATTTCTTCGAACCTGTTTTCTGTTAAAATGTAGATAATGTCTCCCTCTCTGAGTTAGTGCGAACATAAAATGGAATGAGGTGTGTGAACGAACTTGGTAAGTGTCTAACAGAGTAGAATCTCTGTTGATGTGAGTTTCTTCTTTCCTGAATTCCTCATTTTAAGTGTGGGAGGCAGGCTGCGGCAAGCTGGCCACACTCAGTTCACTTTAACAGAAAAATAATAAAATCCAAGGTACAGTCTGATGCCTTATTGCTCAAAGAACAGACTATTAGCCCATCACTTCTTCCCACCTGTCTACACCCACAGCGCGGAGACCACATACAAAGGGTAAAGCATTCTCTCCTACTCTCTTCCCATGACAAACCTCATCAACCACATAACCATAAACGGCCAATCACTTAACTTTATCTGAAATCTCACAGGATAGGGAAGAATGGAAAATGTGAGGGAGAAGAAAATAGGGCAGAAGGAAGAAAGGAGGGAATAGATGAAGCAGAAAATTTCAGATTCCATTCAGACCTCCTTAATGGCCTTCATCTGCCCGACCTATGGCAGTAACTCAAAGCCTAAACAACACACAACAGGAATTGTGAGCTTACAAAAGGATCAGAGCATCACTGTCCACTTCATGACCCTACTCCCTCACAGGGAGATAGACCAGCTCACCTGACCCTGAATTATCACTCTAATGGAGCTATTTTGAATTTTTCAAACCACTCCAAACAGGATCAAGATCAGCATCATGGGTTTAACAAGGAAGAGCATATGTTAAAAAAAAAACCAAAAAAAAACCCAGCATTATATCAGATAGTCACAGACATTTTTATAAATAGCCTGATTATCTCCTTTATTTTCCTATTTTAAATTGTATGAATTCACGTTTTATCTCACGATCTTAAAATGACATTCTTAAACAGTGTTTCCTGAGCCTCAGTATAGTTTTTATTACCAGCTCAGCTCTGTGCTTATGACTCTAAATTCTCATGTTCAGCTCTGATCCTTTCGACTCACATATTCAACAGGCTGAAAAAAATCAATTTTGGCTTGTCATCAGTTATTTATGCTAGATATATCTAGAAACAAATTTGACAACTTCCTTCTATATTGCCCATTTCAGCAAATGGTACCAACATTTACCTAGACAATCAGACTAGAAACCTGGTGACTACAGCACTCCACTGCCTACAGCTATCACTAGCTCCCCATTGCCTTTAGAACAGAGTCTAGTTCTGCAGCAAAGTGAAAAAATCCTCCAGTTCTTGTTTCTCACTAGCTTTACCCTTTGTTCCTTGTACATTCTGGTGATAACCAAACTGATTCTAGTCCCCTGCACAGGTCATATGCCTCTATCTTCCCTCTGCCTGGGATGCCCTTCTCATCTCTCTTGAGCTGCAAGCCTACCCTTTAGGGCAGAACTGTACGTGCACAGCCATCCAAAGGCATCCTGCAGTGCGTGAGCCATACATCACCAGCTCTGGCAAGGGCCTCAGGCCCTCATTAAAATGTCAAACAAGCCCACGCCCCAACATTCTCCACCTGCTTGTCTCTTCATGGTAAGCTATGGCACTTAGCCCACGAAAAATACATAGCACTGACCTACTATACATTTTATCGTTTTACTTTATTCATCGTCTCTCCAGCCCTACTGGGATGCAAACTCCATGACGGGGGGCATTTTCTCTGTCGTTTTCACTGCTCTGTCCCCACTATAAGTAAACAAAAGCATGAATATAGTATGCAAATCTCCCATATTAAAATTATATGTCTATGTGGCAGTTTTCTTCGCTAAACAGCACATTTCTTGAGGGCACAGTCTGTGCTTTTTTATATTTTTATACCATAATATTCCACGCAGTGCCTCTAGCATAGTTGGCTCTCAACAAATGTTTGTTATATTAAATTGAAGTTTAAGACTGGCCCCGTGGCCAAGTGGTTGAGTTCTCTCCCTTCGCTTCAGAAGCCCAGGGTTTTGCTGGCTTGGATTTTGGGCCAGGACCTAGCACCACTGGTTAGGCCATGCTGAGGTGGCATCCCACACAGCACAATCCGAAGGACCACAATTAGAATATACAACTATGTGCTGGGGGGCTTTGGGGAGAAGAAGAAGAAGAAAAAAAAAGATTGGCAACAGATGTTAGCTCAGGTGCCAATCTTTAAAAAAAAAATAAAAGATTGAAGTTTAAACAAAGATGTGTTCAGTAAAGAAAGAACCTTTAGGGGCCAGCCTGGTGGCGTGGTGGTTAGGTTTGTGAGCTCTGCTTTGGCAGCCTAGGGTTCACAGGTCCAGATCCTAGGCATTACCTATGCACAGCTCATAGGGCCATGCTGGGGTGGTGTCCCACATATAAAGTTGAGGAAGATAGGCACAGATGTTAGCTCAGGGCTGATCTTCCTCAAAAAAAAAAAAAAAAAAAGAACATTTAAATTTCTTCAGATTCACAGAACTCGTTAAGATTTTGATTTTATCTCCTAGCTTTGGGGCCTTCAGCAAATTACGGAACTTCCCCAAGCCTCAGTTTCCCCAATTGTAAAATGAGAATAAATATATTCTCTACCTCTTAGACTTTGATGAAGAATAAATGCAACAGTCTGGGAAGTGCTTAACACAGTATCTGCCATATAGAAGCCACTCAATAGTTGTTAGCTGTTTTACGGCCATTGTGTTGATAATGATGATGATAAAGAACACTCATGTAGAATGAATGATAGAAAAATCTGAAAAGGGCATCTCCTCAAGAAAACAGTATTCACAGAATGTTTAGGAAATTCTCCCAAGCACCAGGTAATCAAAAGAGGGAAACTCTTCTGCATGTGGAGTTTTAGCAGCAGGCTCCCCTCAGTGGGGCCAGAGAAGTCTCTGCTGTTTAGAGCATCATCATTAAAAAGGGCAGCTCTTTTATTTCCCTTTGCTGGCAAATTTTCAGGAGCCCAGTGGAGTTTCCTAGCTCTCTACCTATACCAATCAGGCAATCAAGCACAAAGAAATGTATATGTGTATGTCTCTGCCTTCTGGATGGTCAAATATAACCAGACTGAAAATCCATAACTCCATTTTCACAAATGACACTTTTTCAGATAAATCTGATTGCTCTTTTCTTTACTTTGCACTCTTGGAAATTCTGGCAAGATGTATTTTTTCCTCTGCCTTTAGACCGCCAGCTCCATAAAGTCAAGGATCGTGTTTGTCTCCTTCACTGCTGGAACCAGCAGCCTAGAGGTAGTCCTTGGCAAATAGTATCTGTTCCATAAATATTTATGGAATAAAATTTTTGAATCTACTAATTGATCGAATCCACTAATTCAATTCTAGACTAAACTGCAGAACAATTCGAATGTATAAATTATACCAAAGAATTAATGCATCAAAATATCTATGAGAATTGTATTATCCTAAGTTTTTTAATAGATTAATATAGCTGTCACAATGGTACCTATACTGTTCATTGTCATCAGGTCTGCCAGTTTTGTATTCTTACATTTGGGCAACAGAAGTCTGGAGGTAATGGTTCTCCTTGGTGAGGAATTAGACTAATTTTAAGAGAGTGGGTGCATTTATATCTCTAGTCTTTGCCCAATGTGTGAATTCTCTAAAGGTTTTCCAAGTTACTAATAGGAGCACTGTGAACATCAAATGCTTCAGAATGCACATTCAGTTCTGTCGCAGTTTCCGTAAGGACCAAAATGAATCTTGAAGATAGGGAAATGAATATTTTTCACTTAAAATTGGGAATTAGGAGAGCACTTACCTGAACAGAAGTCATCAGAATATCTGTCATAGACAGCTCTACAGTCCCTTTCGTCACACTCACAGGTGTCCCCATGAATATCTCCCCAGTCTCCAGTCGGGTCAACATCGTGGCAAGAACATTCACCACAAACACAAATCCCTAGATGGGAAAAATAATTTTATATGGGTCTAGCGAAGAAAAATCATGAAAGAAAGCATCTTACATATTGCTTTGTTTTTTTTCCTGTTGATTACTTTGTATTTGGAAAATATACATATTCAGAAAAAACATTCTACAAAGAAAAACACCATCCAAAGTTGACAGTAGAGGTTCTTTAATAAACAAAAGTTATTATCTATGTCCATAATTAGGTGGGATTGAAGGATGGGTCATTAGTACCGTGTTGGTTTGTCTCAAAGATAATGCCAAAACAATTGATATAAGATATAATCCTTGCTCTCAAGAAACTGACAATCTATTTGACCAAAAAACAGCTAATGAAAGAAAAATTAGCAAACAATAAACATATGTGTACTAATGTTTTGTAAACTAGGACAGAAATACTGCAAGAGTTTAGGGAAGGGCTGAAGTGATTAGATGGTCTGGATATGCAGAGAGAAGGGGAAATGTTCTAGGGTCCTAAGAGCAGTTGGAGGTGGAACAACTCAAGGAAAGTCAAGAAAGCAAGAATAAGCAAAGAAGGGCGGGATTGGCACGGGGACCCTAAGGAGTCCTGCACCATTGGAGCATAAGGTGCATGTTAAGGAAGACTAAGAAGCAAGCTTTGCTAGATCGGATGAGCTCAGGACATAGAGGATGTTGGAGATAAGGCAGAGAGATACAGCCTTGGAGATTTGCATAGAAGAAGTACCCAGTTGTAGATCATATTTAGTTTGCGCAATTTATCTGTAATCGTCTTTAAGGCAACCAGCTAATCATCTGGGGGGAAAATAAAGTTAAATCCCTTCTTACCTCTTACATCAAAGTAAATTCCAGATAGATTAAAGATTTAAGGATATAAAATAAAACCATGAAATATAAAATACATTTTTTTATTCAAAACCCCCAAAGCAAATTACTAAAAGGAAAAAAAGAAATAGATTTAATAACATAAAAATCTAAAATTTTGGTTGGAAGCAAAACATTATAAAACTAAAACACTAAAAAAGGCTGGAATGAATAGTCATGTGTATGTAAAAGATAAAAAGCTACCTTCACAAACATAAACATTTCTTAGGAATCAACATCCAAAGGAAAAATATGGCTAAAAAAAATAGACAAGGGAAAAGAACACCAATCCAAAATTTTGCAGAGAATTAATGATGATAGATTAACATAAAAAATAGTTACCACTGGACCTACTATTACTAAGGGATAAGGGTGGGGGATCTGTAAAACAATAGTGAGAATTATTTTGTAGCTCAGATTGCAGAAGTGAAAAAGATTGGTAGGATTGAGAGTTGGTGAGGGCATGGCGTACGTACAGCTTCCAGGGAGGCAATTTCATAACATGTAATTTTTAAATGTGTGTTACTATTTAGCATAACAGTCCACTTCAATTAATATATCCAAAGGAAAGGAAAAGTGCACAAAAGTATATTGTCAGGAATATTAACCATGGTGGTATTCATGTTATTGAAAAACTACCAGTGACCTAAATATTGATCAATAAGGAATGAGTGCAGTAAGAGTCCTTGTGTAGCTTTGACTATCAAGCAGCCATTGAAAGTAATAATTAGGGCTGGCCAGGTGGCACAGTGATTAAGTTTGCACATTCCACTTCAGCGCCCTGGAGTTCGCCAGTTCAGATCCCGGGTGTGGACATGGCACCGCACGGCAAGCCATGCTGTGGCGGGCGTCTATAAAGTAGAGGAAGATGGGCATGGATGTTAGCTCAGTGCCAGTCTTCCTCAGCAAAAAGAGGAGGACTGGCAGCAGATATTAGCTGAGGGCTAATCTTCCTCAAAAAAAAGAAAAAGAAAAAATTAATAATTAGGTTTTTGTTCTGTGAACATGGAAAGATATCCAAAATATAGGATTAAATGGAAAAAGCAAATTACAAGTTAGTATGTATAGTATGATTCGATTTTTGTATTAAATAAGAAGAAAATACATATCAAGGAGAGAAACATGATAAATTTTTAAAAATAAACAAAAACAGACTGAAAGATCATGTACAAAATGGGATGTTGAGATTATGGATCATTTTCTACTTTACTGTTATTTTTTTAAATGAATATGCATTGCTTTCATAACAGTATAAATGATGTGGGGGATGGATGTGTGTTAAAGTGAGTCCACTGTGAAAGTGTGAGTAAACCACATGGGCAATAACGGACATTTATCCCATCACTGATTAGCTGTGTCTACAACCTCGATGCTTTGGCCCCTGAAGATGGGTAAACAAGGACAACGAGGTAGGCATGTGTGGGGATTCATGTCTCTCTCCTACCTAGGAGGTAGGACCTAGGTTCCTAGGAAACGAGCTCATCGACGGTGGACAGAAGTCCACAAAATGACTCATTGCAGTGTCTGCCCCTGACGTGCCATCATGTACCCCTGAATCTCACTGGCTACCAGCCCCGTTTAGGCTGCTTTCCATTCTCCCTATGCCAGATCTCAAACCCAAAAGCTCTGAGCACCGGGACAGGGGAAACAGGAGGTGAGATGGCAGAGAGGTGCAAGGAGTGTTTCTGAAGGATAGCTGTCTCTCCCAGCTCACGTGGCCCGGCAGCGGAACTTGTCCTGGTCCACTCTCTTTCAACACCTACCCAAGTGGTTGTTTTCCACGGTAACACAATTCAAGCTTCACACACTGACATCACAATGGTGACTACGAACCCTACTGAATAAAAGGACTTAAGTAGAAACATGTCCTCACATATTAAAGGAAAACAAAGTGAATTAGTACGATATACAGTCAGATCTATTCTGCATATATTAGAGAGGACTTTTCTTTACGATTTTTGTTCTGAGTTCAGGCCTTTTGCTTTCCTTTCTCTCTGTACAGAAATGTGGCACATTTTACTCTTCTATGTCAATTTTTAAAAAGATAAAATTTGTTGTGTGTTAAGGCTTTTTGTGTAAGCGTTATCTATTAAAATGCATCATTCATTTGTAGAAATGCAAAAGAAGAGTTTTCCAGCTTTCTAGATTTTTACTTTTATAGAAGGAAATATGGCAACTTATTTACATCATCAGGTAGGCAAGGAACAATCCAGCATGGCTCTCTTTTACCTACCAGTACAGCTGACAAAGGGAAAAATAAGTATTTTCAAGGATTTTTACAAAGTGTTTATAACTGATTTGATGTCAACAGTTAGTTAATTCCTTTCAATTATATTTTAGCACACTAATATATTTTTAAAATTCATGTCCAAGGTCAGTCTAAATTTTATATGCCTATTTGATACGTAGTTTCTATACCTATTCTGTTCAATATCACAATTTAATTATCGCATATAAAAGTTAAATGACTCCATGCCAATTCCACATTGCAAACTAGCCTTCACTTTACTCATAATTAAGACAAGAGAGCTTTTCAAATACTCTGGACAATTAGATGCTCGTGCTATAGATAGTTCTGTTAGTCAAGAGACATTTAACAGAAGTACCTATAAGAATTGCCTTTTAGCTGCACTGTGCTATTTCTGGATGGCCGCCAAAGAAATTACAGTCCCTATGTTAACTATTTGTTCAGTGAGGCTGAAAGAACGACAGCAACTTTCTTATCTTTCTGCTTTCTACTTAATAAAAAATAAGAAAGAGATTGTGGGTATGGTAAATGTTGGTCTACATCAAAGTCAAGCACTATGAAGGATGACTTCCTCTCACACGGAAGGAAACAGAGAAAAGGAGTGTTAACAATGAAGATCTTTATTTTCCTCCCAATTACGTAGTAAAGTGTATGAATGACACACCTCTGTTACTGCAGATTTTGCCATCTGGAGATGTGCATCTTCGCTTGCTCTCCCAGGGGGTGATATCACACTGGAATTCACATTTATCTCCATGCCAACCAGCCTCGCAGTAACAGTTTCCACAGTAACACTTTCCATGGCCTTTACCCAAAATGAATTTTAGACAGTGAGGAAAAAAGCAACTTTTAAAAGCAAAATTAACTTTCTACCTCCTTGTGATCATTTTTGCCTTTTAAAATAATATATCCACTCCATGGCCCTTGATTAAAATAATCAAATTACATAGTTTGCCCCCAAAACATCATAGTTGCACCTATACTTACATAATTATACATATAAAGCAAGCCAACGTGTGCTCTAACTTGTCCTAGCCAGGTAGCTGATTAAAATGAAAAGAAATGAAAGAACTTTTAAAGAAGTGACATGAAAAACTGTGAAAGTTTATTACCTTCCAATCTCAAAGATATGCATCAAACTCAAATGTATGTAAGCATTCACTCTAAGGGCATTTCTTGAATTAGTCACTGAAATATTTCATTTGAAATTAACTATTGAGAAACCAATGGTGCATATTTACTTGGATGCACACTATTAATGACTGACCATTTCTTAAACCCAAGGAAATATTTCATCTTTTATTCAACTGTGTCCCACAAGCTGTTGTGTTCCACCACGTGGAAAAGAGGTTTTCAGCTAAATCAATGTTTGGTAATGATCTAGACCCATAGAATATCATGGACCCTTGGTCTCACAATGAAATTCCCATCTTATTTGTCAAGAAAATACAAATGATAGGGAACGGTACCTACAAGCAATCTGTACTGAATTGTCATATCATCACTTTCTGCATCCATATCTAGCAATCCTACAAATTCCCAAAAGACGGCAATTTTATTTACCCCAAAATCACTTCTTATGTCCTCCCTTTTTGCAGTCATGCCACCCAACCATGAATGTCTGTTCTTGCTCTTGGAAATATGATGAAAACTGGGGTCACATTGGATTTTGGTTTTTAGCTCATTCTTTCTGTTTTACGGGAATTCATGTTTTATCAGGATCTTTGGATAAAGTGTTTGCTCTGCCCTCTCTTCTTCTACAGCCATAATTCCAGAGGACCCATGGGAAACTGATTGTGAGGCTATTTTTCTTTCTAAACACTAGCATTTCCAGCCGACAGTTAGAGGGTCAATAGGGCCTGTGAAAGTCACATAAGAAAGAGGAATACCATGAAATATTCTGGTCTAGCATAGGTTATTCTTGTCCATCAAATGAGACTTCCTTCAAGCAGACATGCATCAGAGAGACAGACGATGAGAAAGGAGCTATAGAGAGACGAAAGAGAGAGACAGGGACCCAAGCAGATGATGCCACATTTTCTGTCTGAATGAACTGTAATTGGGGTGGCCATAGAAAACCTCTTCTTAACCTAATGGACAATGATCATTTCTACAACAAATTTTAATTCTAATTTGTTCAGTTAGGTAAACGTAAAGGTTAGCAAATGATTTCATCAATAATAAAACATAAAAGCTATACATTTTATTTATAAACTTAAAAATATCTCGACATGTACACACACACACAAATATCACGTTCCTGTGCTGTATCATAAGCCTCAGGAACTTAAGGATTACACTGGAGGAAAGCAAGACAACTGTGTACTAAAAGCTTTTCCTAGGAGTTAGTTTTTTTAAGACTTGATTAACTTCTTCAACTAGAATTTATTTCCTTTAAAATTTCAGGAAATTTATGTAAGGTGCTACATATGTAAGGATTATCATGATATTAATAAATGATCATAAATCTAAATTCTTCACACCCAAATTCTTTGTATATTTATAAAATTCAGTATTGAATTAAGAGTTTTACTAAAAAATCATTGAGATCGAGGTGAATAAGGAAAGAAAAATCATGTAAAACTACCCCTGTATCCAGATACGTAAAAGAAGTAGATATCCTCACAACTCAAATGAAAATATTATAACAAGGCACATCTGGATAGCTGAAATAAAATATAAGCTTCAGGACAATAGACATTCCAGGCAATAAAAATCATTCTTTGCTTTGTGTAAACCGATGGAGCAAGAAAACCTCCTTTCGAATGACTTCATGGATGGGCTGTAGAATCACCTCTCAACGGATTAGTTTCACGTGAGTGACATGAGGAACGATCTACAATCCTAATCAATGTCACCCCTAGAGGATGTTTACTGGAGTGCCTGTGTCTGTGATCAGAGACTTTGCACCACAAAATTGCTTAAACCTCAAACAAACGGAAACAATAAATGGAAAAGTGGAGAGTTAACATTTCCTGTTGTGTTGTTTCAAGTTGAATGTTATATTTACATATTCAAATAGACTTTGCTTTGGTGGTGTGCGTCAGAACACACTGGCCCCAAGGAAGTGCCCCTCCTCTTTTCTGATCTATAATAATTAAAAAGGAAACATCAGGAGGACAAATATATAATATTTGTGGGAGGATTTATCTAATTGTTCTAATTATTTTGAACTGAGCCCTTTAGCAGAATTGTCTGAGCAGCATCTAGCTTAGGTCACTGGCTTGAAAAATGAAGGCTTTTGTGTTTGTTTGTTTTATCCTGATGGGTTGTACAGTAAGGAAACCAGAGAGAAAGAACCAAGCAGATCTAAAATCAGAGTATCTGAATGACCACAGCAATTGAAGATACAATTTGATTTTGTAAACAAAGGGACAGCTTGCTGTATGTTAGTAACACTTTCTCTATGGCACTCAGGTTCCTCCTGGCCCCATTTGCCCCTAATCCTTGCAGGGAAAATATTCTTTTGAAATCACCCATTCTGCATGCAGGATAGGATTCCATGGACTGGAATCTTGTCAGAGATAAGTGAAATAAGCAATTACTTATAGTAGAGAGATGAGGCCAGACGTAACCAGGCTAAAATGTTTAATAGCAGCAGAGAAGAGTTTACTAAAATGAAGGGATTCTCATTTCTCTCTCCTTTCCTCTTCTGTGCTAGCCATGGTTGCAAATTGAAACTTGGAACAGGCTTGCAAATGGGTAGGCAGAAGAGAAGGGCACTACACCTAGTGAGGAGGCGTTCTTCTCATGGAGCTCCAAATCCCTGTGCACTGATGATGAGACTGTCTATGGTGGGGGGTCAAGAGCACAGTCTTTGGCATCAGACAGACACAAGACTAAATTCCACCACAATCGGTGGAGTGACCCAAGGTAAACTACCTCATTTATCCAAGGCCTGGTTTCCACATCCATGTGTTTGGATGAAAACAATTCTTACCCTAGAGTGATGTTGTGAGACTTGACATAATGAATGTAAAAGTGTTGCAGTGGTTGGTACTAGTAAGCATGCAATAACTGGAATAACATAAAAATAGACTAAGTGATCGAGGTGCAAAGAAAAGATCATGAAAAATGTTATCTAAGTGTGTGAGGGGTATAAGTTCTAGTCTAATATTCCTATGGTCTTTCGATGTTCCCAGTAGGACATGAGACTATTTAAAGGCTTACTGTTTAGAAAGGGAAAGAGAATGAAATTAAAACCTGCAGTTGAGAGATTGGGAGAAAAGAGACAGAAGCGGTTAACGTGGAGCAGAGGAGATGGAGTCTAGCTAGGACCACTTTAGAACTCTGCAGCTGGCCTGTTGCCATAATGATCTGGCTTTCCTCCGGGAACAATCTGATTTTGCATTTAAAAAGTCCTAGTCTACTCTGAAGCCTTAGTGTAACTCTTCTTATATGAAGTGTTTTCCAAATAAACATAGGTTCAGGTTAAATAAGTAAACTTAGCACAGAAGTTCATAGAGAGATAAAAGCACAATGAAACAGGTGAAAAACCAAATATGTTTTATTAATTTCTGCAAACTTAACATACATACCTCCACATATTTCTTCTGTTTCGTCATCTATGCATTCTCTATCATCACACTCACAAAATTTACCATAAACGAGTCCATTTCCATCTGAATTATCACACTTACATCTGCCACAGTGACATGTACCTAAACCATTAAAAACAAAGCAAAAATTATTTGCTAAATGCATATAAGTTAGAATTAATGAATTTTTAACTTATTTCTTTCAAGGATATAGACAATTCAAATCATTTTAATATTGCAATTATGTATTATTGTGGGTATGATGAGATAGATAATGACATTCTTTCTCGAGACCATTGTAGAAGAGCAATCATATTTTATAGCGCACTTACGATTGACCTCTGATAGTTCTGTGAACATAAATTTGACCTCCCAAGTGCACAGCTCTTTATATGTATCCATCCAATCAATGCGTGAATAAATATCTTCTGATTACACCTGGGGCTGAAGTGAACTAAAGCAGAGAATTCTAAGCTTTGTGTGGGAAGTAACCTTGCTTATCTTCCTCACCAGTATTGATTCAATGCTTTGCCCAATATTTGAGCATACTATTTATATAATAAATATTTGTGGAATTCATTATCAAATGCATAAATGAAAAACTTAGAGGCTCCAAATAATTTCACATCCACATGTTAAACTGATACACATGTCCTTATGACAATGGGCCCAGGGTGAGTATTCTTAGGTACAGAGTCCCGGGATCTCACCAAAACCTCAGGGCCACTTGGGGTGGTACAGAGGCACTGGAGTCATCTGGTCTACCACATGCCACATATGCAGCCAAGTCTGACAATCTGACTACAACTCCCGAGAATGATTTCACTGACAGTAAAAGGGCATTCAAATGATATTGAGAGATGCAATGTCTGCTTGAGGAACTTCCTTTTTAATACTTATTTTTCAATTTTTAATTGATCCTCACAGCAATCAACATATATTAACTGCGACTTTACCACTCACTAGCTGCCATCCTAGACTCTGGAAATGCAACAAGAGATGAAGTCAGCCATAATCCTCCTTTTAAAGTTTTATATGAGTAAAAGCTAGTGTGATAAAATAAATGGAGAAGTGCAAAGTGTTGCAGGAGCACATAGCAAGGAGATTTAACTGAGACCTGGTGGCCAAAGATATGGCCCCTGGAGAGGTAGCTCTTAAACTGAGAACTGAGAGCCAAGTAAAAAAATAGCTCAGGGGCCGGCCCCATGGCTGAGTGGTTAAGTTCGCACACTCCACTTAAGCGGCCAAGGGTTTCACTGGTTGGGATCCTGGGCGCAGACACGGCACCGCTTGTCAGGCCACATTGAGGTGGTATCCCACATGCCACAACTAGAAGGGCCCACAACTAAAATATACAACTATGTACTGGGGGGATTTGGGGAGAAAAAGCAGGGAAAAAAAAAAAAAAAGATTGGCAACAGTTGATAGCTCAGGTGCCAATCTTAGGGAAAAAAAAAAAAATAGCTCAGAGATGAGATGGTGAAGATGCCCACTTCCAGCAAGAGACTACAGCAGAGTCTCTAAGGTGAAAGAGGAAGCAAGAGAAAAAAATCAAACACAGCTGCAGTATAGAAAACACCGTGGTGGGCCCGCCCGGTGGCGCAGCAGTTAAGTGCGCACGTTCTGCTTCTCGGCAGCCCTGGGTTTGCTGGTTTGGATCCTGGGTGTGGACATGGCACCACTTGGCAAACGTCATGCTGTGGTAGGCATCCCATGTATAAAGCAGATGAAGATGGGCATGTATGTTAGCTCAGGGCCAGGCTTCCTCAGAAAAAAGAGGAGGATTGGCAGTAGTTAGCTCAGGGCTAATCTTCCTCAAAAAAAAGGAAAATACTGTGGAAAGTGGCATGAAATGAATAGAGTAATTAAAGATGCCTTTCACGGAAATCTTATAGCTCATGTGAAATATTTCCAACTTTAATCCAAGAATGACAAGAAGCCATAAGAAGTATTTTCAGCAAGGGACTGATGTGATCAGTTAAGCATTTTCACCAGATCTCTCTGGTCGTCATATGGAGAACGAACTGAAATGAGAGAAAAGTGGATATGAGGAAATGTTGTTACATTTGTCTTCAGGAAAGAAGACAGAGGCTGACCAGGGTGGTGGCAATGAGGATAGAAATAAGCAAATACACTTGGGGATATTTTCAGGAGAAAGAAGAGACGATTTGGCAACTGGTTATGAAGGGTGAAGGATAGGCAGAAACCAAAGACAATACTGATATTTGACTTGAGCTGCTGGATATTGACAATTCTGTACATGGTGTACCAGAAGGAGCATGGATTTAGGACTAAGGTAGACTTGTAGCCAAATCCAGGTTTTAATCTCCAGTGGCTATACATTTTTGAGGTCATTACTTTCATCTCTAACTCTCAAATTCCTCATCTGTAAATAAGATCTACTTCATGGAGCTGCTCTCAAGACCAAGTGATAAGTATATCACCCAGGCATCTTTCTAGACACACCACAGTGTCTTGTGCAGAGTAGGCTTTCAGAAAACTCTGGGGTCTTTGTTTACTCCTATTAAGATATTGAGATTATTAGTCATATTCCCAAATATTTTCTCCAGACTCACTTTACATTTCTGGACCCCACAATGTCCTGTTTTCACACCCTCTGCATGATTCTGTCACCCAGGTCACTTGCAATTTGTTATTACCTGTAAGACTTTTTTCTCTCACTGTCATATATAAATGGTGATTTTTCAGAATTTGAGCTTGTATTTTTCTTCCTTGAGAATACTTGTATAAATTTTACTTTTATTAAACTTCATTTTCTTGTTTTTTTCCTGAAAACGATTTTAATTTATAAAAGTTCATTTCAAATCTAATACTGTAATTCATGATATTGCTTCCTCTCATTTTTTCCTCTAATTATCACCCTTCTTTTCCATTTTCACATTTATTCATACTGTCTTTCAGCCATCCACATAGCCATTCATTAAATTTTCTTGTTGCCTATTATATTGCTGGCAAAGCACTAGGTGCTATAGGAGATAATAAGGCGAATAAATTAAAATTAAGTAAATCATAGACCAGGAAGAAAGAGCTAGATGATAGATTATATATATATATATATATATATATATATATATACAAACACAGATGATGCAAAGTCATTTGCAACAGATTTGTGACAAATACTTTATAGAAAGTATAAACCTCAATCTGGCTCTGTGAAGGAGAAAATGTACAGTAAAGGGGTAGGTTCTTGAGTTGGCACTTGATGTATGGATAGAATTTCAACAAGCACAGATGGAAAAAAGACTTGTGACATTCAGGAAAGAGCCTGGGATAAGGAACAAGGATGGAGAATTAAAGAACAGTGAAGTGTCTGGCTTGAGTTTGGAGAAAAGGGTAGTTTGAAGGCAGAGAGCAGAGGATCCAGAACACTGGTCAAGGATTTCTGATTTTATCTGTTGGGATACCAGGAGCTTTCACAGTTTGGGAGCGAGGTGTAACCTAGGACTATGGATGCAGTAGTTGTTTTTAGGTAAGATGGGCAGGAACAGCCTCTGCCTCTGAATTCTACAACTTCTCACTGACGTCCCCCACAGGCAGGCTCACTCCCATCCAGGCATCTGAACCATTCCTGGCTGATGTGAGAAGTTTACAGCAGCTCAGGCTTCCTGTCTCACTCATCAAGTAGAATTCACAACTGAAGCTCCAAGATATGGCATATGCAAGCCCAGGCAAAAGTGCCAGACTCCCATGTTCATGCTGTGTCATACTGCATCTCTCTCCTGGTTGCCAGTTAACTCAGTCTCTAGAATTGGTCTTCTGCTTTATACTAGATTATTTTAGCTCTGACTTTCCATTCTGCCTAATATAGCCATCTCTCTCTAGGATGACTTCCCTGTCTTGAACACCAGCCTATACCCCTGAGCAATGGCACTGGAGCCTTGTTTCACTCTGAAGACTGTGCCTTGCCTTTCACGGCCCCTACAGAGTCAGCTTCTGGAACTCCTTTCGTCCCCAGCTCCATCTTGCCCTGGCCTTCAGTCTTATGCCCCACTTCATTTATCTCCTCTTTACCTTCTGCTCCAATCTGCTTCCAGCAAACCACAATGTGATATGAAGGGGAAATATTAATGGAGAGAACTCACAGACTAGTGCAGTTTTGGGGGAGCGGTCCTGAACTAGGCTGGTGGAAGTAGGCGTTAAAAGAAAGGCATGTGAGAATGAGATTGCCAAAGTAAACTTGAAAGGCTTAGATATTGAGAAGAGAGTAAGAGAGAAAGTGAAGATCAAATGTAACAGTATAAATTTATCTCTTGGCCCAGCAATCTCATTTCTAGTAATTTACCCTGAAGATACACCTCCAAAAATATGAAAATACCTATGCACTAGTTCATTCCGTGCATTAATATTTGTAATTTCAAAATATTGGGAACTGCCTAAATGCCCAAGCAGAGGAGATTGATTGAATAAATTATGTCACTTGCATAGAATTAAATACATTCTATCTAAAAAATACATGGGGAAGATCTCTATGAGCTTATATGGAGTGACTTCCAGGAGATAATGCTGAGGGGCAAAAGAGCATATATAAAAGGAAAAAACTGAAAAATAATAACATACACATATACCTATTTATTTTTTCAAAAATAAACACATACATGGGCCAGTCAGTGGCGCAGCCATTAAGTTTGTGCACTCTGCTTCGGTGACCCGGGGTTCCAAGGTTCGAATCCTGGGTACAGACCTATGCAGTGCTTATCAAACCATGCTGAGGTGGCGTCCCACACATAAAGTAGAGGAAGATGGGCACGGATGTTAGCTCAGGGCCAATCTTCCTCAGCAAAAAGAGGAGAATTGGCAGCAGATGTTAGCTCAGGGCTAGTTTTCCTCAAAAAGAAATAAAATAAAATAAACACATACACAGACAAAGCAGAAAGCAGTAAAGCTGGTTACCTGTAAGGCACGTGGGGAAGCACGATGGAAGGTTTAAGGAAGAGAATGATGATTCACTGAGTATGCTTTTTAGCAAAGTTTTGACTTTTGGAAGCATGTTAATGTTCTACATATTATAAAATAAAATGAAATCCATGAGGATGGGAAGGAGGGAAAAAACTCTACAATTGGAAGCAATCTGAAATAAATAAGTTCAACAGCATTTCAAATGAGGACTTTAACTATACTACAGGGGGAGAAAGAAGAAAGATATCCAAGTAACGTTTGAACACAGCATTTGACCACATACCCCAGTCTTGGGCATGGCTTGGGTGGGGCGAACATGCAGGTGGGGACGGATTGCAAATGGATTGCAAATGTGCAAAAAATCCTGGGATTTTTCAGCAGATTTGTATAGTGGTATGTACGAAGCAATCCTAAAAACAATGTTAGGTGTAGTATAGAATTGAGCAAATGAGTAAATATGTGGATCATGTTGGGAGCCAGATTTCTCACTGTGCAAGATGAGACACATAAATATGGAAGGGAAAAAACAAGGAACAACCTGGTGGGGATGGATCAGAGTTGGATGCACTGGTATGAATTCATGATTTTTAAAATATGTGCATGTATATGTATGTATACGCATACATGTGTGCCTATATGTATGAGTATTTGTGTCTATATATATTTACATGCATGTATTTCCCAGCCTATTTGCAGAAAGGACTAAGAAGTAAATATACCCTAGAAAATAAGCAACCCTAGTGCTCACAATTCTTATTCTAATACCATTCTTCACTAAAAGGAATCAGGGCTCTTTGGAGAAATGATTGATTCCAAAACTGTGGCAGGGCAGGTACAATATGACTCCAGAATACATTTTTGGCAAGTATATTTTCCAGGAAGTAAAAAATTGCTAAACCCAAACCAAACCAAACGCAAAAAACAATGGAGGCATGTCACAAGGATAGAGAAGTAGGCTTACAGGGGTTCCACTAGCCTAATCTGAGATTATCTGAGCACCAGAATAATTAAGTACAGTAATGAACAATAAACCATTGAAATAATAGGAATTCTGATCCTAGACTCATAATAAATATTAAATGATTGATAGATGAGAGATGACTCTCATTGTGGTAGAATGTTGAGTGTCAACTGGTAAATATAGAGGGAACGTTGGCATTTGGAAATCATCATTTTTCAATCATCATCGTAAATAGTTGATCAGGTGAGAATCATCAAAGGATGGTAAATCTGGGGTAATTTTGATGAGGATGGGATATTTTATGGTTTCAATGGGTTTCCCCCACAGACTAGAGCTGAGACATGAGATCAACAGCCTGACCATGTGAGCAAAGTTGACCTGACCAGCGAGAGCAGATGGATCTCAGGTACTTCCAGATGACACATCCTGAGAACACAAAATCATCTATCCAGTATTTCACCTAAGAATGTAGCATGAATCTAACCACAAGGACACAACAGGCAAACCCAAAATAAGTAACATTCTATTAAAAAAAGGTTGAGGACAATTTTCTTCCAAATTTTAATGCTATAATACCACTGTCTGTGAAAATGGTCCAGGTCAAAGGAGGCTAAAGAGAGATGACAACATAACGCTGCCGCTTAGCCTGGATCCTGTACAGAGGGGGTGGAAATGCTATGAAGGACATTGTTGGGTCAAGTGAAACTGGAATATGGATGGTAGATGGGATCAATGTTAAAAAAAATAGAGACACAGATATCTCTGAAATGTTTTACACCTTATCAAATGTATTTTATCATTTATTGAAATAATTCTGTAAATTTTCTCCTTTGAAATACATTAATTTAGGGAATCACATGTTTAGATTCCTGAATGTTGAAACATCTTTGGATTCCTAGACTATATTCTATTTGGTTATAATGTATTATTAAAATTAATAATAACTCAGATTTTATTTGAAAAAAAAATAAACCCAAAAATAGAGAATAAAGAATTCAAGTCTTATTACTGAAAGAAGTTTGAAAAGTGTGAATTTTTCAAGACAGAAGAGGCTATGCGGGGTGTCTGTGTGTTTGGAGGAGCAGGTGTTACAAACTGGAGGTGGAGATCTCCTACTGAGAGGAAAGGAAAGACTGGAGTGCTAGAGAGAAACAAGGAGAATATCCATGAACACAGAAAGTGACCTGAGACCTACCGTTGAGACTATTGTCACAGTCCCTGACTGCTCCACTCATGCTTTGCATTGGGTATGGATGCTGATTACGACTAGCAAAACACCCGATTGCACTTAATCTACACAGAGTAATTTGTCTCAGTCAAAGACTGTGGAAAGGTCCTAGCTGATTGCAGAAGGACTCTACCAACAAAGTGAGTTTCAAGAGGGAAGATATTCATTCATGTAGTCAACGTCTCACCTTTAGCACACAGAGCAATGGCTCACACCCCTGGATCTACATAAGAATTACCTGAAAGCTTTAAAAACCCACTGTAGTCCAGAACACACCCCCAAACAACTGAATCAGAGCCTCCAGTGCAGGACAGGGGCAGTCTCAAGTTCAACTAGGGTTTAGAAAAGCTGACGTGGAAGCTCCACATGCTCCAAAGTTGAGTATTTAATTATAGCAACAACGGCTAAACACCTTTGAAACCAAAACACAGTTGTTTTGTTTTATATGGTTTTGGTAAATAATTTTAACAGCTTATCTATAAATTTCTAAGAAATATTTCTAAATGACCTCTTTGAGACATAAAAATATTTTCATCTAACAAAAAATCTTGTTGCCACTATATTCTTCAATGAGTTTCATATTCAGTGCATCTAAAACTTCTATTAAATTTAAAAGGTTTGCGGGCTGGCCCGGTGGCGCAGCGGTTAAGTTTGCACGTTCCACTTCTCGGTGGCCTGGGGTTCGCGGGTTTGGATCCCAGGTGTGGACATGGCGCCGCTTGGCACACCATGCTGTAGTAGGTGTCCCACATATAAAGTAAAGGAAGATGGGCATGAATGTTAGCTCAGGGCCAGTCTTCCTCACTGAAAAGAGGAGAATTGGCAGCAGTTAGCTCAGGGTTAATCTTCCTCACCAAAAAAAAAGTAAAAGGCTTGGTTGTATTTGATGCTAAGGTATAAATTCAAAGCATCCTTGATCTGTAACAGAAAATAATTGTCGGTTTGTATATATCCTTTTAAAAAGATTTAATCAGCATTCAAATTCATGGTTCACAATTTACATAAAATGTTGACAGGGTGTTGTTTCCAGTGGATATCCTGCTTGAAGGAGGCATTAGAACAGCTGGAGGGTGTCAAACTTGCCAGTCTCAGCAAGATGACATTTTTTCTTATCTGAATTTCATTTCTCAAAAATATACTCAAAAGCAGGCTCACTCAGAGGTTCAACATTTCTCAACACATACATATTTCCATTAAAAAACAATATTTGATTATTTCACTTAAGAATTTTTCTAGGATAGAATTCTTACCTGCATTAGAGCAGATGACATCTTGAGAATTCTTGCACATTTGGTTACTTTTTTTCTTGGTCAGATCACAGTGAGTTGGGTACTGGCAAGCATCCCCAGACCATCCTTCATCACACTCACACTTGCCACAGTTACACTTACCATGGCCTGAGAATTTAATGACATCCAGTTAGACTCAAATTGTTTTCCAAAGGAAATTATTGTAACTAAGATTCTTAAGGGTGACGGTGTTTCAAGACTGAGCTATAATAAATTCAAACACATGTATATTACAGTGGCTGAGAGGTAATGCTACTATACAGTATAATAGAATACGTGAATTTTATTTCAATAATCAACTTTGATAAATAATTCTAAAATCATGAAGTTAACTATAGAGACATTAGAGCGGCTAACAAACCAGAAGTGTAATAAACCACATGGTTAGAAAATTTAGCACTAAAAAAGAAATTCACCTACCATCTCCACATTTAAGAGAAAAAAGGCCAATAAAAATGATTTCTATAGAACTGCATTTTATAACACATAAAACCACACTCTGGGCAAGGAATCTCACATGAAACTCCACTAAACTAATCATTGGACTTATATTTATTTGAATATAACATGTAATAAAATTTTATGGATATATTAAATACCACCTCGGGATAAGATTGACGTGAAAAATAAGTATATACTTTGTTTCTTAATGAGGAAATTTGGTTCAAGAATCAAAAGAATAAGAGCCATATTCATTCACTTCCACAGAAATTTCTCAACCTTTCATGCTCTCAAATAAACATTTTGCTGTTTTTATTGTTGTGATCATTAACGTTATTAAGTCCTGCTTGATGAAGCCTACTAATGTTTTTATTGACTACATAATAGTCAGACTGAAGTGAAAACACATATAATCCTCGGCACTTGTCTCCAAGGAACTTATAAACTTCAAAGTCGAGACCGATATACAAAGAGGATGGGGTTATCTTCAGCCAAAAATGTTAGTCAGATCTTGTGTTAAGTTGAGCAATGGAGTCTACGACCTGTAGAAATAAGAGGGGAGAGAAGACTTTCTAGACGTTCTTTACCTTTAACTGGGCCTTGAAAGGTGAGAAGAGTTTGACTGGGTTGCAGGGAGAGTATTCTTATATTACTCAAGATAATGATACTATGTCTTAATGCCTGAAATTCATAGACCACAATAGAATGGAATCATTGATCTGGGGCTAACAGTCATTCAACATGGCAGCCAAAATCCACGCGATGAGGTCCAGGTGGCCAGTCAGATTGAAAGGCTCAGAGGTGCCCCATTTGGGCATGTTCAACAGAGTCCGCATCTGTGATTGGCTGTGACTTTAAAACTCTTCTGCATACGGCTCAGTCCATGTAAATGTTTCCATTCCTGTTGCATTTTTCAAATTAATTATTCTATTTTACAAACAAAAGCTTGCATGCAACCTAATTGCAATTCATTTTATCCAGTGCACATTACTCCATCAAATTGACTGTATCATTTTGCATTCCTATCTGGCCCTACATGATATTGCCAATCTCAACCAACTTGGTATCATTTACAAGCCTAAGTAATCTCTCCTGTCAACCATCCAGTCTATTTCTAAAAGTATTAAGCCAAATCCTTGAAGTGGCTAAGCCTCTTTTGGTAAATTAAGTATCTTGGTAAGTGTAATGACTCTTTAATAATATTAGTGCATTAGGTTGAACCACATGAAATCGCCACCACTGTAAGTTGAATATCAGCTATTTTTATGGATCATCCCAACAAAAAAGCTTCATATCAACAGCAAAGGGAAACGATTTGAAGAAGAAGAAGTATGGTAGTAATGATTTACTTAATCTAGAATACAAGAATACCCAATGCTTCTTTTATATTGGATGGGACATCTCAGACTCTAACCTAAGGTATATAACAGAGATGGATAATGACTTGTGCGTGAAAGGCTATTTATTTTTAAAAGGGAGGGAGAGGAAAGAATTTCACTATATTCTTTTTTAGAGTGTCATTATATATATCAGTACAATGAAACTCCTCAGATATCCTCTCATGAAAAAGCTATTTATCTTTAGTTCAGAATATACAATTCCTTTTGACTAGGGAGCCTCTTTTCCTCATAACCTATATTAACATCCTAAGCACACTCTTAGACCAACAATGTGTCAGGTAATGTGTTTTCAGCTTTTCCTTTAGCATATGATTGGAGGCAAAGATGACAGTCAATGTAGGACCAGGTCATCTACTTTTATATTATTTCTAAACTTGAGGCCCAGTAAAGGCCTCCTTGATTTACTTTCCTCCATTTAGGAAAGTGAACAGAAATAATCTTTTTTACTGTTGAAGAATTATCAAGTAATAACCTGTACAATCTTATTTGAAGATAAATATATAATTTTTTAGAAAGAAAATAGTCTTCAGACTCTTTTTACTCTTTATGCAAAGTTACTAAGAGTTTTAGAAGGTCTCAGGGCATTAGATTGCTATATTATTTTGGCACAGTAATCTCCATTGCAGTGTCAATAAAATGGATTCAAGAGTGGGTGTGGCAGACCCCTGGGCTAACAGCCCAAGGGATGCACCTCAATGACCCTCACTGATGTCAGTATCAGCACGCCTGGACCAGCTCAGAACAAAGGCCCCCACCAAAGTCTCAGTCTCCAGAGAGGACCCTCCTCTCACCAAGATGCCCCCAGAGCCCACCAGCCCTTTTCTCAGGCATCTTCCTAAGGAGTCATAGGCTGAATTATCTAGCTCCTAGCTCCTCAAAACATGGGCCTGCAGTCCAGAAACATCAGCATTACTCGAGAGCCTGTTAAAAATAAAGGATGTCAGAGATTGAATTCCAAGATGGCGCCGTGAGTAGTCCTCTTTGTCTCTCGCCCTTCGAGTCTACAATTATTTGGACACTTATCGCTTGACAAAGGATATCCAGACAGCATCTCAGGACGTCTGAGACACCCACGCGACTATACATCGGAAGGCGGACGGACTTTCCTCCGGGAGGATGTGGAAATAGGTGAAAACTCTCCGACCCCGACGGGCAGCCTAGTACCCGCAAGCGGCTTTCTTCCAACGGACGCCCCCAGAGGATCCACACACATCTAGGGCAGGAGCGAGAACACAACAGAGGAGCGACGGTGGAAACAGGTGACCAGAACCCTACTTAAACCCCCCGCAATTACTCCTAAACGCAGAGGGAAACTTTGGAGTTGCACACCTGAGCCCGCGGGGAGAGTCTCTCCCCGCCATTGGCGGGGAGACCCGGCCTGGTGCTCGGGGCGCCCGGAGGGTCCCAGAGAGACGCCCGCCCCGGGGGACTAGGGATTGCCGGAGATCTCGGAGAGGACCGGGGCAGGGGAACTTTCAAAGGCGGGTCCGGCGACCCGGTGGGGAAGCGCCGGAGCTCCGCCAGGCAGCAGACAAAACTCTCTGTCTGCCGGTAGCAGAGGGGCCACGCTGAGCACTCAGGGCTCCCGGCAGAGGCCCGGAGAGAAGCCCAGAGGGCGGGGCGACCCCCAGCTGCCGTTGCCCGCCCCGGGGGACTAGGGATTGCCGGAGATCTCGGAGAGGACCGGGGCGGGGGAACTTTCAAAGGCCGGATCGGCGACCCGGAGGGGAAGTGCCGGAGCTCCCCCAGGCAGCAGACAAAACTCTCTGTCTCCCGGTAGCAGAGGGGCCACGCTGAGCACTCAGGGCTCCCGGCAGAGGCCCGGACAGAAGCCCAGAGGGCGGGGCGACCCCCAGCTGCCGTTGCCCGCCCCGTGGGACTAGGGATTGTCGGAGATCTTGGAGAGGACCGGGGCGGGGGAACTTTCAAAGGCCGGATCGGCGACCTGGAGGGGAAGTGCCGGAGCTCCCCCAGGCAGCAGACAAAACTCTCTGTCTCCCGGTAGCAGAGGGGCCACGCTGAGCATTCAGAGCTCCCGGCAGAGGCCCGGAGAGAAGCCCAGAGGGCGGGGCGACCCCCAGCTGCCGTTGCCCACCCGGTGAGGCTAGGGATTGCCGGAGATCTCGGAGAGGACTGGGGCTGGAGAGAGTTCCAGAGACCCAGCTTAGTAGCCTAGGGGGAAACCCTACAGGCTCACAGAAGCCTTAGGGAAAGCCTCTGCACAGCATCAGTAGAAGGCACCCAGCCGCCAGCCACAAGGCTGGAAGACCCCAGGGCAAAAGCAGCATAGCTAGGTGTACTAACCACAGACTGTAGAAGATGCCAATAGCTCTCCTGCGACCCATAGAGGACAAGTGAGATTTGGTGGGTGCCGACAGCAACCGAGCGACAAATAAAAGTGATCCCACCCCTGGCCGCTGGAAAAGCCCATAACACCGTTGCAGACCCCAAGGAGAGAGCGCATCTAGGTGGGCAACAACAGTAGGCACCTGCAGCCTGAAGCCCCCGTGACGGCCCCACGGCAGAGGAGGGAATCAAAGGGCACTGTGGCTACGAAGAGGGGGCCCAGGCCCAGTTAGCAACTACGGACAGGGTTCCTGGTTGGTGAAGTATAAACAGCTGCTCCCCCCACCGCAGCAGCTGAAACAAGTGAAAGGAGCAACTAAACTCTATCTCCATGCGGAGGCACAAATCAACATCATCAAGCAATATGAAAAAATACATTAAATCTCCAGAACAGAAAGAAAGTAACAAATACACAGAAATCAATCCCAAAGAAAATGAGATATATAACCTAAATGATGATGACTTCAAAACAGCCATCATTAAAATACTCACTGAGTTAAGAGAGAATTCTGACCGACAACTCAACGAGTTCAGGAGCTATGTCACAAAAGAGTTTGATACGATAAAGAAGAACCAAACAGAAATACTGGAAATGAAGAACACAATAGAGGAGATTAAGAAAAATCTAGATGCTCTGAACAGTAGGGCCGATAATATGGAGGAAAGAATTAGCAATTTGGAAGATGGCAATATAGAATTGTTGCAGGCAGAGGAGGAGAGAGAAGCAAGACTTAAAAGAAATGAAGAAACTCTCCGAGAATTATCAGACACAATTAGGAGATGCAACGTAAGGATTATAGGTATACCAGAGGGAGAAGAGAAGGAGAAAGGGGCAGAAAACCTATTCAAAGAAATAATGGCTGAGAACTTCCCAAATCTGGTGAGGGAGATGGATCTTCAGGTGACAGAAGCCAATAGATC